TTGAATAAATTGATTTATTGTAGAATTATAACGAATCGCGAGTGCACGCACTACGTGGAGTACACAATTTACGTATCGACTTGAATGGAAGCACGATATTCCAGGGCGAAATATCGTGTGCATTTACATTCGAAAATGAAGAGGAACCAATGGGCGATGTTAGTATCTTAGTTCTCTTCTCATCTTTTTACTGGAGCTTTTAAGCTTATATTGTTCAGAAAGCATGTAAAGGCTTAAAGGCGTTAAAAGGCTCAGAAGATATAAATAAATGGCCAGCGCACCGACTGCCGGTGCGAAAATGCATTTTTTGCATAGTTCTCCGCAGGTTTTTGTTGCTAACGACATCGGTGTTTCCGGCAAATTCTTCTAGATAAGCAAATTGAGATTAGCTGCCAGAAGTGTTAGGAAACACCCCTTAAAATTTCGGCTTTCTAGCTTTCCTGGTTCCCAAGTTAGTAATTTGCCCGCCATAAATTCTCACTGGTCCGAACGTGAGAAACACGCGTAACTGGAAGCAAATTTTGAAGTCACTATGTTCTACTTGGGCCGGGAACATCTCCTTAAAATCCCAGATTTCTAGCGTTTCAAGTTTCCGAGTTAGCAGCTCACTCGCCAAAGACTTTGCGGGCTCGTACGTGGGTACCACGCGGGTAAGAGTGACCATTTTGAGGATGGGGGCCCGTATATGCATGTAGATTAAGTTTTCAAAGCCCTATAACTTTTGTAGGTCTCAAGATGAAAAATCTGTACAGACGAACACACACACATACAGATAACCTCTCGTTAATACGTGTTTTCTGCATTGCATGATGCTAAAAACACATTAAAAAATCGAAAAAAAATCTGCTTTAAAAAAACCAAAATCTACGAAGTGAGCAGAGCCATTTTTTGCAAATGATTGTGGATCGGTACGGAAGCGAACCACTCGTCTTCAGGCCGGACGCGACATTCTGTGAGTACCGTGACTTTTAAGGTAGAATACACCTTTCTTTTCTTGCCTGTCTGTAGTTATGCAAAAGTACAACCTTTTCTGGTAGTTTTTTTTAATTAGTTTTCTGTGACAATCCAAAAAATATGAGCTTTCTACTGCAGACAATTCTGTTCACTACCAGTGACGCAATCCTGGAACTGATCGCCCAAAATGATAAATGCATGCGGCCTGATGAGATGATGCGCAGCGCGTTGGATCTTCCCCATTTAGTCGATAGCTTAACTACAGGTATTTCTATATGTTAAAAGATTTGAAATAAAATATAACATATGAATTGGTACAGAATGGATTCCATTCCATCACTTGGACCACCAATCCCTCTACGAATCGTTCATTCGTTTTAATGATAAATTAGTATTAGTACTTATGAAGGTAGTATTGTCTCTAGTATTAGTACTGGTACTGGTGAATTGGTACTAGCATTAGTACTAGTACTCGGTATAAATTTTTTTTATCTCTTAGCTGTAAACACAGAGCAAAAGCGGAGAGCCGGGAGAATGGAAGACATAGGTACAAACTCTCGCGAAGAAAACTAAAACCACCCATTTTGTTCACTGTTCTCATTGTTGTGTCTACTGTCTAAGATTAGCTTCAAAGCTGATAATGTTAAGGATTTAGAGGGTCCAGAAACGAGTCCTTTGACGTTGCCGGATTCGCGAGGAAGAAGCGGCGAAAGCGCATTTATGTTAGGCGGAGTTCGACCATTCACAGGTGACCGGAAACAGCGAGTCCGTAGTGCAACTCGAAGCAGCGATCGGAAACCAAGTAGCGCTAGAGCAGCTGATGAAATGGCCTCCAAGCTATCTGTTGTTGCAACGAGTACTGATGACCATAGTGTGGACAAAGGTGAAACAAAAAGAGAAAGTGAAGAAAAGAAAGAGGAAGAAAACATGGATATACCGCTGCTCAAAGGTTTTT